TTCTGATTTTTTTGTTTCTCTTTTGTCTGGCAAGACCCTACATTTTTCCTTTTTGCGTTTTTCCTCCCTTCATCACTCAATTGCCCAGGGCACTTCTCTCTCTCTCTCTCTCTCTCTCTCTCTCTCTCTCTCGTTGTTGTTGTTTTTTTCCTGGCCTTTATTCCCTATCCCAGACCCTATGCATTTAAAAGGCTGACCCTTCAAACCCCACATGCCTTTTAAGTTCCTTCCCTCTTATCTCCCAGGACATTTCCCTGGTATTTTAAGACTACAGAAGGACCTCATCTTTCCTGTGAAGGTTCTAGATCGACCTTGGCCGGAGCTGCCAACCATCCTGTTCCCTCTCTGGGTTTTCTTGGCACAAAGCCTGTGGCAGGTGGAGGTGAGGCAGGGGCGTGAGGGGTCCACGCAGGGATTCCGAGTTTCTTGTTATTTACAGTCATTTTGAAGTTTGCTGAGGCTGTGTTTTTAGCAAACTTTTATTTCCCATTCTTGTTCTGCTTTGTTTGGGGAGGAAACATTGGGGAATGGGAACACAGGCAGCCGCTACATCCCTCAGCTGCTTGAACTCCCTCTGCTTATCTTTCGTGACTTCTTTTTTTTTTTTATCTTTACCCGAGGACATTTCTCCATTTTTTGTTGAGATAGAGTGGGAGGGAGGGAGGGGGAGAGAGAGAGAAACATCGATGTGAAAGGGACACATTGAGTGGCTGCCACCCGCATGACCAACCGGGGTGGCTACAAACTGCAACCGAGGTACATGCCCTTAGCGGGAACCGAACCCGGGTCTCTCTGGACCGCAGGCCGACGCTCTAACCGAAGAGTCAAGCCGGCCAGGGCGTGACTTCTTTTTCTTATCCTCCCCTGAGAACATTCTTCCATTTTTGTTCAGATAGAGTGGGAGGGAGAGAAAGAAAGAGAGGAGACAGACAGAAACATCGACATGAAAGGGACACATTGAGTGGCTGCCTCTTGCACGACCCCAACCAGGGCTTGGGACAAACGGCAACTGAGGTACGTGCCTTTGACCAGAATCAAACCCGCGACTCATTGGTCCACAGGCCAACGCTGTAACTGCTGAGCCAAACCGGCCAGGGCAAGAAAGAAATTCTTATTTTTTTCTTTATTGATCTTTAAAGAGAGAGAGGGAGAGGGAGAGAGAGGTAGAAACATCGATGAGAGACAAAATCAATTGGCTGCCTCCTACATGCCCTCCACTGGGGATTTGAGCCACAACCTGGGCATGTGCCCTGACCAGGAATCGAACTGGCGACCTCTTGGTACATGGGTCGACGCTCAATCACTGAGCCACACTGGCCTGGGCAAGAAAGAAATTTCTTTTTATATTTATTTATTTATTTTGTAAATGGAAGTCTTTAATAGTGAGAAAGACCACGCAGAGTGACAGAATAGGGCCAGACTTTCAGGGGGTGATGCTGAGCCAGTCTCTCACAGGACCCTAAAGCCTGATCCAGTAACAAAATAAATCAATTATTTATTTACATTTATGTTTGCCCTGGAAACCCAGGAAGGACTGAGGCCCAGGGTTATCTATCCTTCCTTTTCTCCTCCCTCTCTTCCTACCTCCTTCTTACCTTTTTTCACTTCCTCGATCTTTCCCTTATTGCTTCTTCCCTCTCTATTCTACCTCCTTTCCTCTTTCTTTTCCTCTTTCCTCTCTCACTTTCCTTATTTTCTTCTCTATTTTCTCCCCGTTCTTTCACCACCCACCCATCTTTATCTTTCCCAGCGCCACCTGCTATCTCTCCCCCGTTCAGCCCCTCAGCCCTGCTCCCCTCGGGTTCAACCTCCAGGCTTAGGGTAGGGAGGCAGGAAGGGGTCTCAGCCCAGGGAGCACTTGGTGGTCTTTCTGTCGCAAGTTTTCAGGTCAGCGCTGGAGGGCTCGCTGCTGTTTCCCAGGCTCCGGTGTCTTGACCTTCAGCAAGATATCCCGGGCCAGGAACTGAAAGCCTCGTCCACATTCATACTGGACTTGCCACTAGTCTCAAAAAATCGGATTCCGTGCTCCCGAGCCAACTTCTCAGGCTGCTCCTTCTGGACCTTCCTCTTGGCCTCCATGTCACACGTGTTCCCAGCAGGGGCACTCCACCCCAGCTGAGGATTCTCTTTGATGCTCTTCATCCAGTTCTGAATATTCTCAAAGGATTTCTCATCAGTGATGTCGTATACTAGAATAATGCCCATGGCTCCACGGTAATAGGCAGTAGTTATGTCTTGAATCGCTCGTGGCCAGCTGTGTCCCAGACTTGCAGTTTGATCTTCTTCCCCTCTGTATCCACAGTGCGGATCTTGAAATCAATCCCGGTGGTGGAGATTAAGTGCTGTTGAAGTTGTCCTCTGCAAAGCGAATGATCAGACAAGTCTTGCCCACCCCCGAGTCCCCGATCAGCAGCAACTTGAAGAGGTGGTCGTAGGCTTTGGCCATGGCGGACCCCGAGGGAGCCGGGGGAGAGGAGGGTAAGCGTTGGGCACTGGTAGGTGGGACTGAAGAGTTCAGAAATTCCTTTTTAAAAAAAGAATAAAATAGAAAGGTGACACCAGGGGAGGAAGAGGGGGAATGGGGAGTAGTGTTTTATGGGTAGAGAAATCCAGTTTTGCAAGATGAAGAGTTCTGGAGATGAATGTTTCACAATATGAATATACTTTATATATATATGTATGTTTTAATTGATTTTTTTTTCTTTTTATCCTTACCCGAGGACATTTTTCCATTTTTGTTCAGATAGAATGGGAGGGAGTGGGGGGGGGGGAGAGAAACACCGATGTGAAAGGGACACATTGAGTGGCCGCCTCCTGCATGATCCCAGCCAGGGTTGGGGACAAATGGCAACCTAGATACATGCCCTTAGTGGGAACCAAACCTAGGTCTCTCTGGACTGTGGGCCGGCGCTCTAACTGCTGAGCCAAACCGGCCAGGGCTGTTTTTATTGATTTTTTTAGAGAGAGAGAAAGGCTCAGCCGGTGTGGCTCAGTGGTTGAACATCGACCCATGCATGCACCAAGAGGTCGCCAATTGGATTCCTGGTCAGGGCACATGCCCAGGTTGTGGGCCTGATCTACAGTGGGGGGCACGCAGGAGGCGGCCTATCAGTGTTCTCGCTCATTGATGTTTTTATATCTCTCTCCCTCTCCTTTCCTCTCTCTCTAAAATCAATAAAGAAAAAATAAATAAATGAAGAGAGAGGGAAAGAGAGATAGACACATCAGTGAGAGAGAGACATCAACACTGATCATCAACATGGATGGGCTGCCTCCTGTTCGCCCCCTACTGGGGATCCAGCGCACAACCGGGGCATGTGCCCTGACCCAAAATCCAATGGGGACCTCTCAGTCCATGGGATGATGCTGAATCCACTGAGCCTTGGTGGATTCATGTGGTCGAGCCAATACAATATGAATGTACTTAAAACCACTAAACTTAAAAATGATTACGGTAGTAAATTTTATGTTATGTATATTTTACCGCACACAAAACAAATTGGGGGACAAAAGATACCGGTCAAGTGTGGAAAGTAACGTAGGTGCTGATTGTCCATAGGATTGTACAGAGTACGTAGCCAGTGAAGACAGGAAGGCCAAAGGCCTAATGTTGCAGGCGGAGGGGCAGGCAGCGGCAGCTTGGTGGTTTTGGCTAAAGGCCTCCTCTACAATCTTGGAGCCACGGGTCAGGCTCTCCCTACCTCAAAGGATCTTGGGAAGGCGATGTGGCCTCTGGGAATTCTCACTCCAGGACACTCTCCTCTCTGGCTCCCAGGTTTTGGGATTCCTGGATCTGAAGAACACACGGCATCCCTGCCTCAGCAAGGCACAATCAGCTAATTTTAATTTACCCACCAGTCACCTGTCACAGCCCAGGCCTCATCCAGGCCTCATTTCCTGGCTGCACCTTGGCTCCTCATTTGTAAAGAGGTGGGGAGGGGGCCCTGCCGCCTTTCAGGGCCTGGGGTCCAGCTGGTCTGCCTTCACCCCTCTTTGTAGGTGATGAAGCTTTGGAGAAATTTTTACCTTGGGCAGCTGGGGAGGCAAGCGGTGGAGGCTGGATTTACTCCAGGTAGAGGTAGGTGGGGATGGCCCGAAGCCCCACTCCCAGGAAGGGGTCTGATTGGTGGAGGGCTGTGGGCGGGGCAGCTCTGAGGCTATATAAATGCCGTAGCAGGAGGCTGCTAGTTATGCTGTAGGTAATCTCTGAGCTCAGGTGAGGCTTCTGGAGAGTGAGGGAGGAGGCTGGGCTGCTTGTGGGGTCCTACATGGAGGCTCCCAGGCTGACCACAGGGTGGTGGACGGCGCCTTCTCCTGAGTCCTTTAGGTGGCGTCTCTCTCCATAGCTTGAAATGTTTGAGGTAGCCCTACCTCAACTTGCTTAAACCCAGGTATTTGTATAGTAACATTCTTCTTTCTGGGCCTCAGTTTCCCCTCTGTGAAGTAAGGTGTTGGTGGTTTTGTAAAGTCTGCCACTTTGGTGCATGGTAAGGGGATGGTTATGAGTTGGGGGGCAAGAGGAGTAATCAAACTCTGGCTTTGGGGGTCAGACAGGCGCCACGTTTAGGTGGCCATGAGTCTTCGCCCTTGTTTCTGTGTTTGTAAAGTGGGTCTTTGGTTCTACCTTCTACCAGGATGAAATGAGACGATGCCCGTCGAGCATTTAGCACAGCTCCAGGCACTTAGGTCCCCTCAGTGCTGCCGGTGGCTGCTGTTCTTACTCTCTGGCCCGGCCTGGAGTGGCTGGGTCAAAGCAAGAGCTGCAGCCTGCAGGATCTCCGCTGCTTTTCTGGCCTCCCCACCCTGCAGGCCTCCCAGTTTCCTTCTATTCCGAGCCCCCAAGTCTCCATCTTCATCCCTACCTTCTGGAGGGCCTCTCTCAGGCCAGCCTCACCAAACCCCTTGATTTGTTGGGGGTGAGGGGACAGGTGCTAAGTCCTCGGGTTCCTTTCTCTACAGGTCACCCATCCCCACCCCACCCAGTCCCCACCCCCTATAAGATGAGTGAAGCCCAAGACCCTGTCCATGAGGTTGCCATCCAGGTGAAGCTGTGTGGCTGGAGCCATCAAGATGGGGGCAGTGGGTCTCTCTGTTCCCGCCAACACCAGGAGCTCCAGGCCTTCCTCAGCCTTCTGGGTGACTTGACTTGGGGGCTGGCATGGGAGGGGCTATAGGGACCAAGTTTGAAACAGATTCTAGTGGGAACGGGGTGGGGGTGGAGGTGGATAGGGAGGAGGGTGTCAATGGGGAACAAAGGAGAAACATTTGTAACAAATAAACTAATAAAAAAATTAAAAATTTGGCCCTGGCCGGTTTGGCTCAGCAGTTAGAGCATTGGCCTGTGGTCCAGAGATACCCGGGTTCGGTTCCCGCTAAGGGCACGTACTTCAGTTGCAGTTTGTCCCTGGCCCTGTGGTTGTGCGGGTGGCAGCCACTCGATGTGTCCCTTTCACATCGATGTTTCTCTCTCTCTCTCTCTCTTTCTCTCTCCTCTCTCTCTCTCTCTTCCTCTCTCTCCCTCCCACTCTGTCTGAACAAAAAATGGAAGGATGTCCTCTGGTGAGGATAAAAAAATTTTTTTTTAATTTAGAAAGAAAGGAAACAGGCATGAGAGGTGGGATCTCAAACTGCCCATGCAAGGGTCTGAAGTCTCTGTTCTTTTATTCTCAGGTGACCTGGTTTGGCAGGTGAGGGGTATCGTGCCAGAAAGTGGGTTCAGTGGAGCCTTGGGCTTTGGAGCTTCTGATGCCCCTCTTGTCTTGTGGGAGGTGGATGGTAACCCCAATGTATCCTTTCTCTGCCCTACCCCCAGAGCACAGTTTCCTTCAGGAATTCCTCTCCAGAGATCCCTGTTTCCAGATTTCAGATAAGGTGAGGGGACACAGTGTGGGTAGAAGTTGGGGTCACTTGGGGAAGGGTGAATTCATGGGGCTCACATGCTGCTAATTCATTGGGTCCCCTAGTCTGGTGGAGGGAGCACCAGCCTTTTTAAGCCTTGCCTCTGCTGACCCCTCCTCACCATTTAACCCATTTTTCTACCCCCACCAGAACGTTCTTGGGTGCAAATGTGTCTGGCGCAGTGCCCGCTCCCTGAGCGCCTAACACTGATCTCCCCCTTTCTGTCCGCAGTATCTCCTGGCCATGGTGCTGGTCTACTTCCGGCGTGCCAACCTGAAGCTCAGCGAGTACACCTGCAGCAACCTGTTCTTGGCACTGTGAGCGTCCCGGGGCGGTGGACACCCTTGCTCTGGGCTGTAGGATGGCAGGGCTGGTGCTTATAGCCTCTGCCCACCTCCCACCTTTGTGACCAGGTACCTTGCAAATGATATGGAGGAGGACCTGGAGGAAGCCAAGTGTACGATTTTTCTGTGGGCCCTCGGCAAAGACTGGCATAGTCAGGTGGCACACTTTCTGCGTCAGAGGGACAAGCTGTGGGCAAGGATGAGCTTCCGGGCTGTCGTGAGCCGCCAGTGTTGTGAGGAGGTGAGGCCCTGATGGGGTGGGGAGAAGAGGCTGGACCCCCCACCCCGTTTACCATGCACTCTCCTCCTGCCAGGTCATGGCCAAGGAGCCGTCCCACTGGGCCTGGACTCGGGAGCGACGCCCCCACCACGGAGGGGCTCAGAGGAGCTGCCCAAAGGCCCAGGTCCCCCTCCCCCGGGGCCCTGGCCTCTCACCACCCCACTGTTCCCTCTGTGGCTTGTCCCCTCTCTATAGCCACTGCTGCCACCAACCCTGTCCCTTGCCTGTCTTACCCAAGTGTCCTTCCCCAAACCCTGAGTGGTACTGCCCTCTTTCCCACGCTTGTCTCTCAGTGGCTGAAGACCACTGGGGTGGGGGCTTCCTAATGGTCCTGCCCCCCCAGCTACATCTGGAGCCGGGCACCTACACCCTCCACAGTGAGTTGGGGACAGGAGCTGGAGGGTGGGCTTGGGAGCCCGGGAGGCAGGTGTGGGGTCTAACAGAATGAGAGGAAGAGACACGGGCCTGGGGCCAGCAGGTCTGGGCACACGGCCCAGCTCTGCCACCTCCAAGCTTGGCAAGTTTCCTCTCTGAGCCTCTGTCCTTCTTCCCCCAGTCCTCCCAAAGCCTCCGCCAGTGCCCTAGGCGTTGGCTCTTGCAGGGCGAAGAGCAGCTTGTCTGCTTGCCCGCTGACCCGACGCCCTACTGGCTGTGGCCCCCTGTCCTCCTGTCTTGTTCACCTCAGGCTGGCAGTGCTGCCCAAGCCCCCGCCCCCTCCTCTCAACCTGCAACTTGTACCCACGATAACTCTGGCCCCTCTAATAAACTCATGTCCACAGGACACAGCTGTGCGTAGGCCCTGGCCTGGCTCCTCGACCCGGGTGGGGGCAGGGCAGGAGGTGGGGGGAGAGGGGTCTGTCAGGGTTAGATGTCTGTGGTTGAGACCCGTGAGCACAAGCTCTTCTCCTTCTGTTGGGGCCAGTCATTCTGAGCCTCAGTTTCCCCTTCATAACACCCCCTGTGGGTGATGAGAGCTACAGTGTGGATGGCATGGAATGAGATGACGTGTAAGCTTAGAAGAGGGCCTGGAGCCTATTAGACAGAAAAAGCTCAAGTGAAAAACACCTCCATACTCGGTCTAGAAACGCCTGTGGGGCCAGGTCTGCTTAGGAATAAGACTTGGTCCTTGCCCTGGGCAGCAATCAAATACAATTATTGTAATAGAACACCCCCTCCCAAAAAAGTACATTTGTTAATGAAGGCGCAGGGAAGACTTTCCAGAGGAGGTGGGGTTTGAACTGGGCCTTGAACAATGTCAAGTTTGCCCATGAGGGTTGGCAGGTGGGGGTGGTTATGAGGAAGGGTTTTCTTAGAAAGATAGCCTTGCCTGGCCGGTTTGGCTTAGCAGTTAGAGCTTCAGCACGAGAACCGAAGGGTTGCAGGTTCAATTCCCGGTCAAGGGTGTGTACCTGGGTTGCAGATTCAATCCCGGCCCAGTCAGGTCATTCAGGAGGCAACCAGTCGATATATCTCTCTCACATCGATGTTTCTCTGTCTCTCTCCCCCTCTCTCCCTTCCATTCTATCTTAAAAAAAAAAAAAAAAAAAAAAAAAATCAATGAAAAAATATCCTCAGATGAGGATTAACAACAACAACAAAAAGAGCCAGGACAAGGACTACAAAGTAGTTTTAATTTGTTTTTCAAAGAGGTGGCATAGTCACATGTACGTTTTGAATACTGAACCAAGCCACCTCCTGTTCCTCACTCCCGGCCCCCTGGTTCCTGTCCCTGGAAGCAGTGAATGTACCAGTGCACATCCTTCCAGAAAAGGGGTCCAGACATAGATCATCAAATGTGCTGTAATAAAAATGCGGTATTCGGTCTTTGCCCCTGGTTCCTGGCACAGAGCTCTTTAAACCCTCAGAATTCCCTGAGTCATAGGAGTAGTCAGTCCCCTTTGGCTCACACCTGAGTACATGCTAATGAGTGACTCAGGATGGGGGCTGGTCATCAGAAAGATCAATCTAGAAGGTGGGAACATTCAGCTCCCCTGCATCTCTGGGAGGGGAGAGGGGCTGGAGATTCAGTGTCTGGGTTGGGTGAACACAGATGTGCCGAGAGGGGGGTCTCCCCTGGAGAGGGCACAGAAGCTCTGTAACCACCCCCCCCCCCATGCATCTCTTCTATCTGGCTGTTCCTGAGTTGTATCTTTTTAAATAAACTGGTAAGTGAAGCACTTTCCTGAGTTCTGTGTGTCTAATGCTCAATTATCAAACCTGAGGAAGGGGTCATGGCGCCCTCTGATTTGTAGTTGGCCAGACAAGAGTGAGAGTCGCCTGGGCATCCCGTTTGTGGCTAGCATCCTGTGGGACTGAGTCCATAACGGGGTCTGTGCTGACTCTGGGCAGTTATTGTCAGGATTGAATTGAATTGTAGGCACCTAGTCGGTGTTGGAGAATTGGTGTGGAAAAACCACATGTATTTGGTATCTGGGGAAAAAAACACATTTGGTGTGAGAAGTGGTGTCAGAAAAAAGATACAACAAATATGCACTTATGTTCTCATGTAAAAGAATTCCATGCATCCTTTTGTGTACTTAACATTTTAAAGATGATCCCTTATCTATACATTCCTTTTGACAGCTGTATAGTGCTCCTCTTTATGGATGTACCATAATGTAACTTGTTCCTTACTGATCAACATTTTAGTTTTTTCCAGACTTCTGCTATTCCAAACAGTACTACAGAGAGTCACCAAGACTTTGTAAGGAATTTATAGATCAAATGTGAAAATAATCTGTGGATTGAATTCCTAGAAGAACTGTTCAGCCAGAGGCCAGGTCAAAACTGTCATTTTGATGACTTTTGCCAACTATCCTTCTATAGAGGCTATGCCATACTGCCCCCCTCCCCCAGCAGAACATGTGAAGGCTGTTTTCCAGAACACTCACCAATAGGCAGGGTATCTGATATTTTATCTTTGCCAAACTGGTAAATGGAAAATAGTCTCTTGGTGACAATTTTTAAAAATATGTTTTTAGCCCTGGCCGGTTTGACTCAGTGGTTAGAGCATCAGCCTGCAGTCCAGAGAGACCCGGGTTTGGTTCCTGCTAAGGGCATGTACCTTGGTTGCAGTTTGCCTCTGGCCTGGCCCTGGTTAGATTATGCAGGAGGCGATCACTCGATGTGTCCCTTTCACATTAATGTTTCTCTCTCTCTCTCTCCTTCCCACTCTATCTAAACAAAAAATGGAAAAATGTCCTCGGGTGAGGATAAAAAAAAAAAAAGAGATGTAAACTGTATTTGGCTTCAGTTTATCACTTTGACTTTGCTGTACAGATTTTTTTTTTTTTTATCCTCACCTGAGGACATTTTTTGTTCAGGTAGAGTGGGAGGGAGAGAGAGGAAGAGAGAGAGAGAAACATTGATGTGAAAGGGACACATCGAGTGGCTGCCACCTGCATGACCGACCAGGGCCGGGGACAAACTGCAACCAAGGTACATGCCCTTAGCGGGAACCGAACCTGGTCTCTCGGGACCGCAGGCTGATGCTCTAACCGCTGAGCCAAACCAGCCAGGGCTGTACAGATTTTTTTTATCCTCACCCAATGATATGTTTGTTGTTGTTGTTGTTACTCCTCACTCGAGGATATTTTTCCATTGATTTTTGTTTTGTTTTGTTTCGTTTTTTTATCCTCACTCGAGGACATTTTTTTTTTTGCATTTATCTTCAGACAGAGTGGGAGGGAGAGAAGAGGAAAAGAGAGAGGGAAACATCAACGTGAGAGAGACACATCGAGTGACTGACACCCACCCGACCCCAATGAGGGCCGGGGACAAACTGCAACCGAGGTACATGCCCTTAGCAGGAACCGAACTCAGGTCTCTCTGGTCTGCGGGCTGATGCTCTAACCGCTGAGCCAAACCAGCCAGGGCTTCCATTGATTTTTAGAGAGAGTGGAAGAGAGGGAGGGAGAGAGAGACATTGATGTGAGACAGACACATCAATTGGCTGCCTCCCACATGCACCCTGACTAGGGCCAGGGATCAAATCTGCAACCCAGGTACAATCCCTTGACCGGGAATGGAACCGTTGACTCTTCAGTGTGCAGGCCAACACTCGATTATGATTTTAAAAAAATCCTTACCCGGGGCTCAGCCAGTGTGGCTCAGTGGTTTAACGTGGACCCATGCACCAAGAAGTCACCTGTTCGATTCCCAGTCAGGGCACATGCCCAGGTTGTGGGCCTGATCCCCAGTGGGGGGCATGTAGGAGGTGGCCAATCCATTTTCTGTCTCATCAATGTTTATCTCTCTCTCTCCCTCTTTCTCTAAAATCAATAAAGATTTTTTAAAATTCAGTATTAAAAAAAAACAAAAATAAAATAAAAAATAAATCCCACCTGAGGATATTTTTCCATTTATTTTCAGACAGAGTGGGAGGAAGGGAGAGAGAGAGAGAAACATCGATGTGAGAGAGACATGTCGATTGATTGCCTCCTGAATGACCCCTACCAGGGATGGGGACAAACTGCAACCAAGGTACATGCCCTTGACCAGAATCAAACTTGAGACTCTTTGGTCCAAGGGCCGATGCTCTATCCGCTGAGCCAAACCGGCCAGGGCAGGATATGTGTTTATTGATTTGAGAGAGAGAGAGAGACATTGACTGAGAGAGAAACATCGGTTGCCTCCTGTACATGCCCCAACCGGGGATTGAACCCTACAACCTAGGTATGTACCCTGACTGGGAAGCCAACCCACAACCTTTTGGTGCGCAGGGTGACGCCCCAGCCAACCAAGCCACACCGGCTTGGGCTTGCTCTACAGACTTTTAAATCTATTTAAATCAGTTTTTGTGTGGCTTCTGGGTTTTGTGTCATGGTTAAAAGAACTCTTCCAGCCCTGGCCGATTTGACTCAGCGGTTAAGAGCATCGACCCGCAGACCAATGAGTCACGGGTTTGATTCTGGTCAAGAGCACGTACCTCAGTTGCAGTTCAGCCCCGGCCCTGGTTGGGTCTTGCAGGAAGCAACCAGTTGATGTGTCCCTCTCACATTGATGTTTCCCGTCCTCTCTGTCCCTCCCTCCCACTCTGTCTGATGATAAATAGAAAAATATCCTTGGGTGAGGATTAAAAATGATAATAATAATAATAAAAACTTAAAAAAAAAAAAACCTTTTCCACACTGAGATGACTGTATTATTGTTTTCATTTAAATCTTGAGTTTGTCTATAATTTATTGTATACAAAATGTCCTCCCATTTTCCTATTTTTTAAATTTTATTGAAAACCTCATCTTTTATTAAGGCATAGTTGACATACAATAAACCACATATACTTTAAATGTACATTTTTGTTTTGACATATATATATATGTACCCATGAAACCATTACCATAATCAAGATATCGAACATATCTATCACCTCAATAAGTTTCCTCAAGCCCCTTGATGATCCCTACCTCCCACCCTTTCCCATCTGCCAACACCATCAGTCAATCACAGATCGGTTTTCTGTCACTAAACTGGTATTCTTTTTCTAGAATTTTCATATAAGTAGAGTTATATAGTATGTACTCTTATCTGGCTTCTTATATTCAGTATAAAGTATTCTGAGATTCATCCATTATTGTTCCTTTTTA